CAATACCGGTCCAAACTTCGACATAAATCCATAAAGAAATGACATTATGTTAAAAATTTGCAATTATGCTCCAAAATACCTACTTGTGTCTACTTTATTAAAATTATCCGCGGCAGGGGCTAATGTTGGACTTTTTCCATTTATGATTACAATTTAAATTAAATGCCCATGGAAATTGTTCCTTTTCCATGTATCTCCGGAAATTTCATCTAGAATCATCAGTTTTCATTGTATTAAAATAAATAAAATATTGAGAGCGATTGAAAATGTTCTTTAGAACCTTATACTGAAGACAAATGAATTTATTAATAAACTCCTGAAAAAATATTTTTTGTCAATACACTTTTTTGTTGTATGGCGAATATATATCTAAAATGTTTAAAATACATAAAGTTAGATGATCTATTTTGTTTATTTTTGTTTGTTTATTTTCTATTTGCACTTCCGATACCATCTCTTAATACCCTCCGCCTAGGGGTAAAGAAAACATTAGAACCCATTATGATCCCCAAATACCAATTTTTAGCCAAATCCGCGAAAAAAATGTGGCGAAAATCATCAAAATACCGAATATCGAGAGGTACCGTTATATGGGGGCTATACCAAAACGAGGACCGATATATCATTCATTTTCAATACCAACCATCCTAGACACAATACAAATTGTTCTGCTAAATGTTGACACTCTACGTCAAATAATGTGGGGTGTATCGTGATTCAACCGACAGACAGACATCATTAAATCGACTTAGAATTTGATGCTGATTATGAATATATATACATTATGGGGTATACGACGAATATTTAAGGCTGTTAAAAACGGAATGACAAAGTTAACTTACCCTCCATTCCAAGGTGGAGGGTATAAAAAGCATATCATTATCCCGACTGTGATTAAAAATTTGGGCGAGCGTCATGACTGGCAAAAAAAAAAAACTTTTAAGCATTTAAAGTACCTACTATGAATTTTACAGTTAGATACCACCATGTTTTCAAAACAGTTCGGTTGAGAAATCACATTTTTTGTCTGTTGGACCCCTGAAATGGTTTTGAAAGGCATTTCTGGCTACTTCGATAGAGGGCGGTACCGCTTATGAAAGATTTAACAAAGAGTGAATCTAAATTGTCAGCATAAACCACTTTTATGCCTGAAATAATTATTCTAATTCTCGAAATAATAATTTTAGTCTCAACAAAATAAAAGTCTTTGTCGTTTTAGTAATGTCTGTCTGCGGAATTAACTCTCGGCTTTAAGCATGAATCTTCTGCTAATATTTGTTCCTGGGTTTGAGGGTTTCTTCTCAAGGATGTGTCCAACACCGGTAACACGAACCGGTTTTTTTGATTTGATGCAATTTGAATAAAAAAAAACCAGTAAGCAAAGGCTATAGTCGTGCGGGGCCGACTATGTTATACCCTACAACACTACAATATGTTAGAATCCCCCTTATGTTTAAATCCATATTGGAAGATTTCGCTTTTTAAATTAGGATTTTGACTAGGGACATTTGCCCAATATTTATGCACTCCGTCGTGCTGTTAGTTGTTGTGGTCCATTTTACAGCTAAATATAATCCAATGGTCATCCAAAATGCTAGAATTCTTCCCTGTCCTTAACTCTCTTCACAGGCGTGTCGATTGGCTTCAATTTTTGTTTTTGGTTAATTTGAACCCCTAAATATTTTGCAATCATCTCCAAAAGCAAGAAGCTTCTCCGTACCTCCGTACCCGCTGTCCTAAACTCTAACTTTATGCGAGATTTCGTGTCCTTTGGTTTCTAATTGTGACCTTAATAACGGCTGCAAAATCAGGAAAATTTTTAGTTGTTGGTCCATTTCGATCCCTAATAAATTGCGGACATCTTTGAAAACAATAAGTCTAGCCCTTCTGAGTCCAACCCTACCCTTATGAAAATTTTCGTGAGGATCGGACGATATTTGCAATACTTATATAATATCCCCAACCTGTGTTGTAAGGTGAAAAAATATTTCAAAATATTAAAAGTCAAATTGAAAAAATCGTATGCGATAAAAAATATGAAAAATTAAAAAATGTCACAAAATACTACAAAATCTATATTAACATCATTATTGATACCTTTTTATGCGATTTTTTTAGATTTTATTCCTTTATGTCAAGAGGGCAATCTGAATTGACAAAATTTGTCAAAATCGGTCCAGCCATTCCTGAGATATAAGCATTCTAACTAACATCCCCTTCCTTTGTATATACCCATTGTATATATTTCGCTATATATAACCGATAAATTTACTATCGGCATCTACGTAACGGTCAGAATTGACCTGTTCGTCTATTTGTGATTTCGCGGGATTAAAAATATTCGCGGTTTATTGGAAAATTTGACTTTTATTTAACACAAATGTTGTGGCCCATTTCACCCACTAAATATTACCCAATGACCATCAAAATTGGAAGGCTTCTGCCCAGCCCTAAGCTCTAGCCCCATGCTAACTTCCGCTTTGATTGGTCTATAATTGCGGCCTGTAGATAAACTGCAAAATCAGGAATTTTTCAGTTTTTGGTCCATTTCTACCTGTAAATATTATCCGATCATCTCCAAAAGAAATAGAGTTCTATTCTGACCCACCTCCATTCTAAATTTCGTGAAGATCGGGCCATAATTGCGACCTGTAGAGTGATTACAAATTAACATGGACAGACGGACGGACGGACATACATAGCTATATATCTATATATATATATATATATATATATATATATATATATATATATATATATATATATATATATATATATATATATATATATATATATATATATATATATATATATATATATATATACTCCCCTATCTTGTGTCTACATTTTTAAAATCATGAGTTCTAACATGTTTAATATTCAAACAAGTAAGCAAAGGCTATATTCGTGCGGGACCGACCATGACCCTACAACACTACAATATGGTATTACCATTTTGGAAGATTTCGCTTTTCAAATTATGTCATAGAGCACTGCCCAGATATATATATATATACTCCCCTATCTTGTGTCTACATTTTTAAAATCATGAGTTCTAACTTTTTTAATATTCAAACAAGTAAGCAAAGGCTATATTCGTGCGGGACCGACCATGACCCTACAACACTACAATATGGTATTACCATTTTGGAAGATTTCGCTTTTCAAATTATGTCATAGAGCACTGCCCAGATATTACCCTTAGCTTTTTGACCAGCGACATTTACGCACTCCGTCGTGCTGTTACTTGTTATGGTCCATTTTACAGCTAAATATAATACAATGGTCATCCAAAGTGCTAGAGGTCCCTCTGTATCTCCAAATTCAGACTCATCTACATGATTTGTTTCTTTCGATATCTGGCTATATTCGTCAACGAAATGGAAATGGTTTCTATTTGTGACCTTTATAACGGCTGCAAAATCAGGAACATTTTTAGTTTTTGGTCCCTTTCAGCCCCTAAATATATTGCGGATAAAAAAAAACAATAGGCCTAGGCCTTCTGAGTCTAACCCTACCCTTATGAAAAATTTCGTGAGGATCGGACGATAATTACAATCTGTATATAATAATCCCAACCTGTGTTGTAAGGTGAAAATATATTACAAAATATACACTTAAAGTCAAATTTAAAAATTCGCAGGCGATAAAAAATATGAAATATATAAATATATTAACGTCGTTACTGGCATCTTTTTAGATTTTATACTTTTATGCCAAGAGGGCATTCTGAATTGACATAATTTTCAAAATCGGTCTAGCCATTCATGAGATATATGCATTCTAGCTAACATCCCCTTCCTATATTTACTATCGGCATATACGTAACGGTCAGGATTGACCTGTCCGTCTATTTGTGATTTCGCCGGGATTAAAAATACTCGCGGTTTAATGGAAAATTTGACTTTTATTGAACACAAATGTTAGGGTCTATTTCACCCACTAAATATTACCCGATGTCCATCAAAATTAGAAGGCTTTTACCCAGCCCTAAGATCCAGTCCCATGCTAACTTCTGCTTCGATTCGTCTATAATTACGACCTGTAGAGCATCTGCAAATCAGGATTTTTCAGATTTTTGGTTCATTCCAACCCCTAAATATTATGCGATCATCTCCAAAAGCAATAGGGTTACATTCTGGCTCTAGTCCCACCTCCATTCTAAGTTTCGTGAAGATCGGGCCATAGTTGCGACCTGTAGAGTGATTACAAATTAACATGGACAGACGGACGGACGGACATACATAGCTAGATCGACTCAGCTCGGCGAGATAGGAAGATCTACATATACTTTCCTATTTCCAATATTTCGAGGTCTTACATAATTTTTGGCACACCAAACTTATAATACCCCCAACACATAGTGTTGTAGGTTATAAACAGTGTTTCAATTAACTGAAAAGAACTGTTTATATAACGATATTGACTCAGGACAACTCACATGGCATATATTTATAAGGTTTCTTTTTAATCCGGATTTACAAAACCGATTATTTTCTTATAACTTCCGAACCAATCCCATGATATGACTACTTGTTGCATAGGTATTTGGAAATGATTGTCTATATTTTTTTTTTTTCAATTTGTACAGAAACCTAGCCGACAATGCCATGGACGGCTCAAAAAACTTCCTTAATCCTAGAAGTCTTACTTAAAATTAAACACTAAAACAAATTAACAAAAAATGAACAAAATTAACAATTGATTGATGGTTCCAAGAACTCCTATACATGACTACTCAAAACTATTCATAACATCCTTAATCTTTAAAAATCATCTATATCTCTTATGTAGATCCGTGTCTAACTTTATGGCCAATTATTCTAATACTCAGATCCGTCTATTACTTTCCTCGTAATCAGGGTAAAATATTTACCTCTAAAATTTTTAGATAGTTCTAACTAGACTAGTAGTAGACAAATTGGTACGAATGGACCTCACAGAAAAATTAGTAGCATCAAACTATTGCGTGAGTGTAAAGGCTGTCAAAGCTTTAAATTCGTTTTTGGCGCCGTCAAAACGTTTGTACTGACTTCATTGTCTGATTATTTCTTGTATACACACTACAAATGAACAGACAAGCCATCAATTAGCTCCCATAATCATTCAATAAAAGTCGTGTTGGATTCTTCTATAGAATAAAGTGAAAATGGTAGTAAATAAATCAGTACAGGTTAATATCTATACTGTACATTATTAGTTAAACAAAAATTAAATCGAAATCTTTACCGCTTTATATATATTTTTCGTTAATAGTCCAATGCTGAAGGAGATAATCTTCGTAAATTATTTTTGGGTGGCTTATCAGCCAATTCAACTGAAGATTCTTTGCGAAAGTTCTATCAACAATTCGGTGAAGTCATCGATATCACAGTAAGACGAGATCCAACTACCGGTCGCTCCAGAGGATTTGGTTTTGTAACTTTTGCAGATGCCTCCTGTGTTGATAAGGCACAAGCAGCTAGACCACATGTTGTTGATGGAAAGTAAGTATACACACCTTACTGCTTATTAAAATTGTATTTTTTTCAATTGAACACTTCCTCAAATCGGAACAACTCTAGTTTAGTAAAAACTCTTAGATTTTTTCGAAATTTTTTCCAGAGGTAGGTATTTTTACCCTGATCCCGGGAAACTATTTTTTTCTTGGGGGACGGACCCGGGACCCCAGATTTTTGACCCAAAAGTCCGGGATCAAGACCCCGCCTGGACCCGGATCCACTTACCCGATATAGACAATATGGGTATCGATTGAAAGCTTATGGAAATACCTATCCAACAAGTGGTCACATGAAGGGGTAAGTTTTCATGGTTCGGAAGTTATAGTCAAATTATCGATTTTTTGGACCCGGATTTTTTATGAAACCCCCAAAAAGTCAAAAAAGGGCCCATTATGGGGGTCAACAAAATTGTTTCCAAATTATAGCTGACACTCTTACCTTTCCAAAATGCTACAATTTGTGCTTACATCATGTGACCACTTGTTGGATAGGTATTTTCATAAGCTTTCCAACGATACCCATATTGTCTATATCGGGTAAGTGGATCCGGGTCTAGTAGGGGTCTCGAACCCGGACTTTCGGGTCAAAAATCTGGGGTCCCAGGTCCGTCCCCCAAGAAAAAAATACTTTCCCGGGATCATGGTTAAAATACCTACCACTGAAAAAATTTTCGAAAAAATTGAAGAGTTTTTACTAAACTAGAGTTAAGCCCTCAAATCAATGATTATGTCGGGAGTTCACATTCCATGCACACGTTATTTCGCATATACTCGAGGCTGAATGGTCAGTTTAGTATTTTCCACACAAAAGTTATGTTCCATTTCCACCGCTAAATATTACTTGAACTTCATTTAAAACAGTTATCTGGCATAAAAAATTCTTTGCTTTCGGAAAATTTCGCGTCAAATATTGTGATATATGATCTGTATACTACATTGTGAGTACGACATCGGTGCCCACCCATCATGCGCTATTCCTTAATAACAAGCCAAAATCTCTCCTTTGGCTACGTCAGCCATTGTTAAACAATTTAATTACACATTAATAAACACTTCTTAAATTTTTGGACAACTAGACTGATATATTATGGTGTTAATAAGTTTTTGGTCCCTTCAAAACTTACACAAGATAGAGATAAAACAAAAGAACAAATTTCAATATCACTATTACATATTTGAAATCTAATATTTCATCTTTTCCTTCCAGAACCGTGGATTCAAAACGTGTTATAATTGAAACTGATCAAAAAACTAAAGGTTCCGGAAGAAAGATTTTCGTTGGAGGTTTGAAAGCTGTTCACGATGAAGACTTGCTAAGACAACATTTTCAACAATTTGGCAAGATATTGGGTATAAAAGTTCTTATTGATCGTAACACAGGTCGAAATCGTGGATTTGCATATGTCGAATTTGAAGATTATGATGCAGCAGACAAGGCCGTAGGTAAGTAAATAGTTATTTTACGAACGAACATTTAGTAATATTTGTTTAATATTGTGCAGCGCATCAAAACCATGTAATAAAATATTTGAGAGTAGATGTCAAGAAATCTAACTACAAACCAGATCCATCGAAATTCCAAAATCAAAATGGATACACCGGGTATGCAGGAGGTGCCCCAGCTTCAACATATCCTCCACCAACCTATGCCGCACCATATGGTTATCCCCCGCCAGCATATGGTGCCCCAGCTTGGGGAGCACCTCCACCACCTGGAGCTCCTGGTGCATATCCTCCACAACAACAAGCAGCACCAGCTGGTTATCCGCAGCAACCACCACCTGCTTATGGTGCTCCTCCGACGTGGAACGGCTGGGGCTATGGAGCCCCACCAGCAGCAGTACCACCACAAACAGCACAGCCACCGGTGAACGGTTGGAATAACGCTGCTGCTCCTCCACCAGCAAATCAACCATTTGGAAACTATCAACAGTCATATAATGGTGGTCCCGAAAAAACTGGACGATTACAAACTAATCGAATGGCACCTTATAAGTCTTAAATATGGTAAGTATAAGGTATAGGTGTATATCACATTAAAATATATATCTCACAAAGGATTTGGTTCTTTCCATAAAAAAATATAATTACTCTGATTTGAAATGTTTGTCTGACTACCGGTAAAACATAAACTAGAATTTATGTCCCATGTACAAAGCCAAATATAAGACATTATAAATTGACTATTCACGCTTAAGCATTTCAATAACTATATATCTGAAAAGTGATCTGTATGGGTTCGGGTATACCATTTTAGCAAACCTTATTATTTTTACAGCTTATTAAAAAAACTGATTATTACTTTAATATATTTTATAAATGTGTTGTATATTATCTTTCTATTTAGGCAAACAAATTTAATAACGACTCAAAATGCCGTATAAATAATATATTAATTATGAAATATATTTTATAAGACCGTGGAATGGAAAGCAGAGCTCTGAACATCAATTTTAACAGTATGAACTAATATATTATCAGAACATTTTTATAATTTTAAATATCTATGCTATAAGTATATTAATAAAGACAGATATATATATCAATATATATTTATAACATCGTTTTTATTCTATTTTATTTATATTATTGACTTTTATATGTATATCTCGTTTCACATTTTTAACATACAATCGACAAGTTGACGGAAAAAACGAAAAGTCTTAGGAAATGGTCAAGATTTATTCAAAATCTCAAAGATGTTTGTCACTATAAGAAGTCTTCTTAGCAAGAGAAATTATTTTAGAGTAGTCGTCCTTAAACGAAAAGGGAAAGTTTGGATCCAGTTTTTTATTAATTTGGATTGAGGTAAACTTCGTATTAATAATAAAAATATATGCAGACACTAGACCATTCCCATCGGTTTTCCCTTTTAAAACGCCTAGGTTTATTTTAGAGGACATTTATTTGAGATTCGTTGGAGTTTTAAAATCTAACATCTATAAACATTATAATTTTTATTTATCAGCAATATATTTAATACTGTTTACTTTTTTATCACTTGGAAACACGGTTTTCCCTTTTAAAACGCCTAGGTTTATTTTAGAGGAAATTTATTTGAGATTCGTTGGAGTTTTAAAATCTAACATCTATAAACATTATAATTTTTATTTATCAGCAATGTATTTAATACTGTTTACTTTTTTATCACTTGGAAACATAATACATTTTTAATGATCCCAATTCTTATTTCGCCAGATAAGTAAAACTGATAAAAAAAACTGTAAGTATACTTACGATAATGCATCTTATGATATTTTTAGTTTCAATTAACTTTTTGTTTTAACTGAAAAAATAAAGATATTTAAATCGAATTGACAATTGTTTTATTACAAATATTGTTTGCTCCTGCACCTTATCGAAGTATGGTTTACAATCGGAAGTGAATTAAGTTTTCCTTATGTGATAAGGAGTTCTTCATGCGATCACATTAATGGCATAAACTTATAGTTACTAGGGTTAGTGCGCCTAAGTTCGGCATGTCCCAGTATTCGGCAGTTTTGAAATTTAAACTTAACTAACTAAGAATAGACTTGACCAAATAATGAAATAATGGCAAAAAACGTCAACATTGTTCCTGCTCTCTTTCTGTAAAAAAACAATGATCTACGATCATTTATTACGAGAGAATAACGATTTTCCTCAATAAGTGTCTTCCAACGCGTGCGATAGTGCTTCTTTGTAAAGAAAAAATTAGTGGTGGGCTATATCGGTCCACGATATCGTATAGCCCCCATATAACGGTACCCCCCGATATTCGGTATTTTCATGATTTTACCCACATTTTTCAACGGAATTGTCTGAAAATCCACACAAGGAGTTCCTTGTGGGTACTTTATACCTCGGCAGAGAATTATCTATATAGGTCCACAATATCGTATAGCCCCCATATAACGGTACCCCCCGATATTCGGTATTTTCATGATTTTACCCACATTTTCAACGGAATTGTCTGAAAATCCACACAAGGAGTTCCTTGTGGGTACTTTATACCTCGGCAGAGAATTATCTATATAGGTCCACAATATCGTATAGCCCCCCATATAACGGTACCCCCCGATATTCGGTATTTTGATGATTTTACCCACATTTTTCAACGGAATTGTCTGAAAATCCACACAAGGAGTTCCTTGTGGGTACTTTATACCTCGGCAGAGAATTGTCCATATAGGTCCACGATATCGTATAGCCCCCATGTAACGGTACCCCCCGATATTCGGTATTTTGATGATTTTACCCACATTTTTCAACGGAATTGTCTGAAAATCCACACAAGGAGTTCCTTGTGGGTACTTTATACCTCGGCAGAGAATTATTTATATAGGTCCACAATATCGTATAGCCACCATATAACGGTACCCCCGATATTCGGTATTTTGATGATTTTATCCAAATTTTTGAACGGAATTGTCTGAAAATCCACAGAAGGAGTTCCTTGTGGGTACTTTATACCTCGGCAGAGAATTATCTATATAGGTCCACAATATCGTATAGCCCCCATATAACGGTACCCCCCGATATTCGGTATTTTGATGATATAACCCACATTTTTCAACGGAATTGTCTGAAAATCCACACAAGGAGTTCCTTGTGGGTACTTTATACCTCGGCAGAGAATTATTTATATAGGTCCACAATATCGTATAGCCACCATATAACGGTACCCCCCGATATTCGGTATTTTGATGATTTTATCCAAATTTTTCAACGGAATTGTCTGAAAATCCACACAAGGAGTTCCTTGTGGGTACTTTATACTTCGGCAGAGAATTGTCCATTGTATAGCCCTCATGTAACGGTACCCGCTGATATTCGATATTTTGATGATTTTACCCACATTTTTCAACGGAATTGTCTGAAAATCCACACAAGGAGTTCCTTGTGGGTACTTTATACCTCGGCAGAGAATTATTTATATAGGTCCACAATATCGTATAGCCACCATATAACGGTACCCCCCGATATTCGGTATTTTGATGATTTTATCCAAATTTTTGAACGGAATTGTCTGAAAATCCACACAAGGAGTTCCTTGTGGGTACTTTATACCTCGGCAGAGAATTATCTATATAGGTCCACAATATCGTATAGCCCCCATATAACGGTACCCCCCGATATTCGGTATTTTGATGATATAACCCACATTTTCAACGGAATTGTCTGAAAATCCACACAAGGAGTTCCTTGTGGGTACTTTATATCTCGGCAGAGAATTGTCCATATAGGTCCAGGATATCGTATAGCCCCATGTAACGGTACCCCCTGATATTCGGTATTTTGATGATTTTACCCACATTTTTCAACGGAATTGTCTGAAAATCCACACAAGGAGTTCCTTGTGGGTACTTTATATCTCGGCAGAGAATTGTCCATATAGGTCCAGGATATCGTATAGCCCCCATGTAACGGTACCCCCTGATATTCGGTATTTTGATGATTTTACCCACATTTTTCAACGGAATTGTCTGAAAGTACCCTTGTGGGTACTTTATACTTCGGCAGACAATTATTTATATAGGTCCAAAATATCGTATAGCCCCCATATAACGGTACCCCCGATATTCCGTATTTTGAAGATTTTACCCACATTTTTCATCGGAATTGTCTGAAAATCCACACAAGGAGTTCCTTGTGGGTACTTTATACCTCGGCAGAGAATTATCTATATAGATCCACGATATTGTATAGCCCTCATATAACGGTACCCCCGATATTCGGTATTTTGATGTTTTTAGCCATATTTTTCAACGGAATGGTCACAAGGGGTTCTTTGTGAGCACTTTACCCACCGACAGAGAATTCTCTATATAGGTTAACAATAACGTATAGCTCCCATATAACGGTACCCCGCGATATTCGGTATTTTGATGATATAACCCACATTTTTCAACGGAATTGTCTGAAAATCCACAAAAGGAGTTCCTTGTGGGTACTTTATACCTCGGCAGAGAATTATCTATATAGGTCCACAATATCGTATAGCCCCCATATAACGGTACCCCCCGATATTCGGTATTTTGATGATATAACCCACATTTTTCAACGGAATTGTCTGAAAATCCACACAAGGAGTTCCTTGTGGGTACTTTATATCTCGGCAGAGAATTGTCCATATAGGTCCAGGATATCGTATAGCCCCCATGTAACGGTACCCCCCGATATTCGGTATTTTGATGATTTTACCCACATTTTTCAACGGAATTGTCTGAAAATCCAAACAAGGAGTTCCTTGTGGGTACTTTATACCTCGGCAGAGAATTATCTATATAGATCCACGATATTGTATAGCCCTCATATAACGGTACCCCCGATATTCGGTATTTTGATGTTTTTAGCCATATTTTTCAACGGAATGGTCACAAGGGGTTCTTTGTGAGCACTTTACCCACCGACAGAGAATTCTCTATATAGGTTAACGATAACGTATAGCTCCCATATAACGGTACCCCGCGATATTCGGTATTTTGATGATTTTAGCCACATTTTCCAATCGTATTGTCTGAAAATCCACACACGGAGTTCCTTGCGAGTACTTTACACGCAGACATAGATTTGTCTTTATAGGTCCACAATATCGTATATCCCCCCATATATCGGAACCTTCCTATATTAGATACTTTAAAGATTTTTAAAGAATTTTATTGGATTTTATTTTTTTGAAAATTTTCTAATTCGTTCCAAATGGTGGAGGGTATTCAAAGTTCGGCCCGGCCGAACTTACTGCTTTTTTACTTGTTTAATCTCATTTTTTAAATTGAAAATCCATACGTTACTGAAGGTAACCATGCTATTCTTGATTTTCTACCTATATTTGGTTGATAATGATAATTAAATAAAACACTACTTAAAATCGAAATTAATTTAAAATTCCGGATTAAACTGTGAATTAATAATACAGCATTGTTTTATACTATTTGAAATAAAAAAATATACAAAATAAAATTTTTTTTACTGAAATGCCATATGCCAACTACTGGCAGATAGACATGCATATCATTGGAAAATGGTACCGACTATTACTGGCAAAAAACTACTATTTTAGTAAAATTGCAAATTTTGCCAACTTAATTAAAACAAATTCAATTTTTGTTTACTATTTCGAAAAGTAAACAAAATTTGGAATCTGAAGAACTTTATTTTTCTGCAATTGAAAGATTTCACTCAGTATGTTAAAAGATTGAAAAATCGAAAATCCTAAAAGTGCCGACTACCGATACACTTACCCTACATTGATTTGAAACAGACACTACATGGGACTCTTTTCAATTGTTTTTGTAAATGCTGCTCAGACTGTCCGATAGAATATTGAATGCCAGCATAAAATGATGTATGTATATAATACTAGGCGATTGTCAGTTGAAATCTATAATTCCGAACCAAGATTGTATATGATGGGTGTAGGTGTTGATTTGATTTATTCTAGTACCTTCCTGACATTTTCTTGCATACCGGGTTTTAGTTTTCAGATTGAACAATTATGCAGCGTCTTTTGCAGACCTACCATAGGTTTTATGTAAACACAAGACTTTTGCGGGTTTATTGCTGAAGTTACACCTATATAGTAGTAGTGGAAATTAGAATTTTGATGTGATTAGTTACCATTTAACTGGTGAGGTGACATATTTTATAACGTGGTGGTACATTTTATGCCTCTAAATTTTACAAAAAAAAAAATATTTTTTGATAATTATTTGGTTTATAAGTATAAGCTTGTATATTTTAAATTGTAATAAGTAAAAAAAAACATAATTTTTTCATTCAAACAAAACGTTTATTCATCGCAATAGAAGAGAGAATTTCAAAATGTTAAATAATTCAAATGACCCGCTGGATGTTATCGTAATATTGATGATGTGTATCTTTAAGCCAATTCTAAATAATTTCAATGTTAGTTTGCTCAGATTTTTATCGTCATAAGGCATTTCAATATCGATTCAAGCGCCTGCCGCAACTGTTTTGCCGTTTGTATTTTGCGTATTCTACGGTTTAATTCTTGGTATAAAACGTATGAAAGTTTAGAAACTAGTTTATTTTTTTCAGCTTGTTTTTGAATAAAGGTTTGAGAACAACAGTCAAAATCTGTGTTTTCATATTTAAGTTATTTTCAATAGAATGGAATACGAGAATTTGGACACAGCAATTGAATAATAGTTTCATCCTCCAACAAATCGTTTAAAGAATTTGGTTGTAAACTTATCGCCCGGTTTTTTTTAGCAATAATTCAATCAAAACAAAAAAAAAAAAAAAAAAGAAACAAAAATAGTTGGCAACGCATCTGAGACTATGTTGCCAGCCAATACAAATGGCTGTAAATCAGGGCAAGGCAGAGAGCCTCAAACATTTTTTGTGATTGTATGTGTTTTGAAATAACAAAATATTGCAAGTGTTTTTTGCCTCTCTTTACAGAGTGAGAAATAATTGGTTATCTTTATATTTTCAATTTATAATTTTTCCGTTTTAAAAACAACTTCGTTGTTAAAAATTATTATTTTGATCAGACAATTCGGAGATATATTTGCACAGTTATTTCAATTATGTTTCATTTTAAAATAAAAAAAAAAAAATATATAAAATAAAATTTTATATAATTTTTATTTAAAAAAATATTAAACACAAATAATAATTTCGGACTTAACATCCTAACCATCTAAGTTGATCCTTTAAAAATTAATACCGATTACCACAGGCTGACATACGCAAATAGTTGTAGAATTGTATGCTGATCAGAAACGCATATCCTGCGTTGGGTCCTAAAATATTATGTCTATGAATTACAAACAGAATGACAAACATCACATCCTGTTATTTTCCCTAATATTGACTAAGAACGTACATATAATTTCGGAGAAATCAAGGGATATGAAAATGTCCATTAATTTGGAAGGACAATAAGTTTGTCTAACAATATGAAATAAATTCCTATTCCTGAATTCGTATGTAAATTTCGTCATATAAAATTCAATTAAAAAAAGAAAAATCTTAAAATTTATAATTCTTACAAATTCGGAAATATTTGTTCCGAATATGTAGTAAGATATATTTGTGCTCCAATATTTCTTACGGTGTATTCATAAAAATATCCGACAGCACCTTCCTCAACAACTGCTAGAACAAAACTAAATATTCTCCCAAAACCATTTTGACAGAAAATTCAAAACAATTTATTTTTTACAATTGTGTTGGTGAACACACAGATATCCCAAGGGATACTCTTTGCCTAGCCTTGCTGTAAATGTTACTTATTATTCTCCCTCCACCTTGATAAGGAGGGTATATTAACTTTGTCATCGCGTTAGCAACATCCCTAAATATTCGTCGTAGACAGCATAAGATTCTATGTCTATTTAACGATGTCCTTCTGTCTGTTGAAATCACGATACAGCCCACATTATTTAACGTAGAGATTTTAAATTTGGTACAACCATTTGTATTGTGTCTAGGATGGCTGTCATTGAAAAAGAGATATATCAGTCCACGTTTTCGTATAGCCCCCATATAACGATACCCACTGATATTCGGCATTTTGATAATCTTTGCCACATATTTCCATGGGTATGTCTAAAAATTGGTATTTTTAGGTCATAATGGGTTCTAGATCCTGTGGCGGAACATTGTATGTATAGGTCGACGTCTTCGTGTAGCCCCCATATAACGCTACCTCCCGATATTCGCATTTTGATGATTTTGCCACATTTTCCACGCATTTGTCCAAAAATTGGTATTTCTAGGTCATATTTCCAGAGCGGTGCCGGAACATTGTATGTATATAACGGTACCTCCCGATATTTCGTTTTTAATGATTTTTTGACATTTTCCCCGGATTTGTCTAAAAATCGATATTTGTAGTTCTTAATGGGTTCTCGCTCCCACCGATATTCGGTATTTGGATAATTCTAGACACATTTACCCACGTATTTTTTTCAAATTTGGCATCTAAGACTCGCAATAGATAACAATTCTTGTAATATTTGTCTATATAGGTGCCCGTTTTGGTATGGCCCCCATGTAACGGCCCACTTATTTTATGTTTTTTTTAATAAGTTTTCCTGTATTATCCAAACGGTCTTACTGGTATGGTATATATATACAATTTTTTTCGTTACCAAATGGTGAAGGTTATTAAAAGTTCCACCCGGCCTAACCTATTTATGTCATGGAAAGAAAATGCCGTAGTATGCCCTTCTTGATAAAAAGTACAACAGTTTGTGACATCTAACTAAATGGTTTGGAAATGTGTACTATAATTGAACGAAAAATACTGAATGGTTCTATAATTTATGAAATTTGATATTTAGATTACTTATGATATCTGTGTTTGAGATATGACTGTTGGTGTTTGTAGTTAAGATATGCAGGTAGTTTTGAAAATATGTGGTATAATTGTTCGAAAAGTACTAAGTGGTACTAATTTTGGATCTCTGTGTATTGTGGGATTTTCACAACAAGAATTCAGATTTAAATGTAAATTTATTTATTTTGAAAATAGTATACATCAAAATACTTCCACAATCACTTACAAAGGCATTTCAATAATTCCTCTTAACTTGTCCAGTTTCATGTAAAATTTTCAAAATATTTAAAAATTCCCGATAATTAAACTCGAGATGTATTCCCCGTTGTACGCCAAAACATTTAAATATTATGTCCAACTCACGACTACTCAACATATGATGCATTTCACGAACAGTAAGGGCACGTATCAATTGATTTTTACCAATCGATCCACAATTCTCATAATCGAAATCTTTAAATACAGAACTGAGATTGGAAATTTCATCTGGTTGTCGGGCCAATTTCATTAAAGCCTGTGAACAAAGGGCCCGTTCTTCGAAATTTAAGAAACATTCCGCACAATCTAAATTGGCCAAATGCATGAGAGGAATTGCTGTGATCTCATTATCACCCGATGACATTTCCATTTGAACGAATATTTCATCGAGAGCTCGACAAAAATCACGATATAGAATGCAGCAGCCACGCTTAGGAGAGCGAAATCTATGGAAGAAAACCTGTTTATACATAGAAATAATTGCAATAGTTGGGTGATCTTACATTTTACAAAGGCTATTGACTTCGTCAATTGACAACTTTATATTTGCATTGTCGAGGGCACGACGAAAATCTATTTCTGAAATTTCACCCTCACGATGACGATCGTAGTCTTGCAGGAAATCAATAACTGGTATACACTTCGTAACGGCTTGTCTCTTAGCTTTTGTTAACAATTTAATTATATATTCCTCATGGGGCTCGTCGTCGTCAACAGAAGGAGCTTCAACTTTTGTTTTTAAACATCCAGTTTGTAAACTTGAAGTTGATTTTAGTTTTGGTGTGGCATATTCCGCAGGATCCGCATCCTCCAGAAAATGTTTGTAATTAAAGCCTAACTCATTGCCATAACGATCTGTGAGACTATTTAATTCATCGTTGGACAGCAGAATACCATTGCTGACAAATATTTGATTGGCAATTTTACAAGGAACATGACCACTATTGAGTCTGAGGGGAGAAAATAGAGGGGGGGGGGGAGGTTAGTTTTTTTTTTAATTTACTGTCTCTGACCAGTAGAAGGTCATCTGCATACAGAAGACCTCTATAAGTCTTTCAGACATAGTAGGAAGTATTGTGCCCTTCGAAGACTTGCGGACGGTCTTTCGTACATAAAATACCTGGAGATGATCTTCTGTATATAGAAGATCTATAGGAGGATTTCCAAATAGAAGTGTAAACTTCGTATAAAACTCGCACTCTTCGAGCATTCCTGCTCTCGAACAAGTTACGGTCCCGTGTAGTCTCCAGCCCTTCGCGGAAGCATAGCTGGATGCTACCGAACGCGTCCACAGGTTACAGATAGTGGAATGCCCAAAGATATATTGGACAGCTGAGAATTAAAAAAGCAGTCGCGGACAGGAAGAGAGGTATCAGGGAGAGAGTCTCGAAACAAATATCCGAATGATCCTTGGTTCGACGGAGCGAATAACTGGCGCCTCTAATTAAGCAGTGATCAGTGTTAGTCTGTCGAGAAAAGACTTCCTAACGCTGGGGTGTTAAGTAAACCGTGCCCATCAGTGTTCCTCGGTTTGCAGTCAGGGTACCGACTGTATTCGAACGTTTGCCTGACTGATACCTGGGCGCCTCAGTGAGTAGCAGACTTAGTTACCAGGTCCTTACCATGGTAGGGAGGCTATGCCATGGCGGACCTCGTCTCCTCCAAAGTCCGAAATTCATATGGAGAAAAACAATAAAAAAAACACACAAAAACCCCAACAACCACTAATGACCAAATTGGACGACATGATCTTGACTTATATTGACGTTATCCGTGACTGCATTCACTAGCAGAGTGAACAATTGTCCGCTCTCCTGGAGGAGACAAAAACACTAAGAGGAGAGTGTTCCCTCTGGCTTTGGAAATGACTCGCCCCTTACTGATGAGGAACTTGATATCACTATCAGGAAGTGGTGAGGCACTTCAAAAGCCACAGAGAACACTCCGTACATTCAGTTTCCGATGTCTTAGGCCTCTATCGGCAGGACGCTATCGACGTAGCTGCTGGCAGGAACCCTACCACTCACGAAGGCAGCGAATACAAAACGGGGCTACAAAAGGTCGACAAAGTATTCCAAGAAGTTTATCGGCCGAGACCCCGCACAGATTACGGAGAGAGAAGATCCTGATCAAGATGAACCTGAGAGTAGTTAAAAAGTTCGAAAAGAAACACCCGCCAATACCAAGCTGTTCTCTTGATCAGGTTGATCAGGCTAAGAAGTCAGAACCTGCGCTGGCTGCAGCCTCGGCAGTTCCAAAGGAAACCGACAGCTCTTCACGCTCAGCGTTGAAGAGAGGTCGGTCTACAGAGGAACCACATCTTGAAGCCAAGAAGGCATCTACGCACTGGCATCTCAGCCAACACATACATCTCCCATTCCGACGGCTTAGCGTTGAAGAGAGGTCGGTCTACAGAGGAACCACATCCTGAGGCCAAGAAGGCATCTACGGCTCAGGCATTCCAGCCAATACATACAACACCCGTCGGCCAGAAAGCCGGTTGTGACAAAACCGACTCCGGTAATCCCTACAAGCTCTAATCCTGTAAAGGGCCACAAGAAAGCGGTCAAGCTACAATCGGCAAGACAAAAGGACGAAAGAGGAAGCATTCCCAGACCATCTACCCGAACAATCTAAGAGTAGCGGTCATCGCAAGGCTGAACCGGAAGCTAAAATCAGCGACATTCGATAGCTGCTAATCGAAGACCGTCTGAGGGAACTGGTCTTTTTGGGTGAAGGGGACCCAAAAAGGTTGCAGTTTGGCAGCGCTACTTTTTACAAGGGCGTGAAAGTCATCTGCTGTGAAACCGAGGAATCTAAATAATTCCTGGTCACCACAGTAGCTGGCTTTCACGAGCTTTGGCAAGGGTGCGACTTGGCGGCTGTATCCTTGAAGGATATTCCCTGCCGTATAGTATTGGCAGCGTGGGTGCCACCACCATAGGTGGATCCGGCATGCATTCTGACGATACTGGGCAAACAAAGCCTCAACCTCAGAACAGGCAACTGGTGCCTCGTCAGTTTAAGCACTGAGGGGGTGGGGGTCTGGTCATCAAAGTATATATTGATACGGATGGCAAGGATTATGTTCAAGCTCGTGGGGCAAGTTGCATTTCGAAACCGGTTGGATCCGTTTCCAATTAGCGTCGCTGCATTAGGAGGAAACATCATGCAGATTAATCCGCATCACTGCAAAGCAGATGCTGAAACAGACATAGCCCTGGTCCAGGAACCCTATATATACAACAACAGGGTGACTAGACTAGAGAGTTGGAAGTACGTCTCTTACGCATTTTCCAATGGTGACAAGGTAAGGACGTGCATCGTTGCTAAAAAGAGTTTAAACTTAATCTTCCTTAGTAATTTCAGTGGAGGAGATACTACGGTGGCGAGACTGGAGACTAAATCCGGGAGGGTCCTCATCTTCATATTTCTCTACGTAGGCAAATTGTGACAAATTTGCGGATCTGGCTATACCTAGGCTTCACAGTTTCGACAATCTGTCCTTATCCTCAACCCTTGATATAGACAATTCCGTAAATGCGATAACGAGTGCTATGAAAAAGTCTCTCCGCTTACCCACTCAGACAAGAAATACCAAGAAGTTTGGTGGTCAAAACATGTAGCCCAATTAAGGAGGGATAGTAGACGATTGTACTAGCCCTATTGTACCAAACAACTTACGGACTGGGATGCCTATAAGACATTCTTCAAAAAGTACAACAGTGAAATCAAGAATGCCAAGCGTCATCTTGGGTATGTTTCACTAAGTCAACAGAAAGCGTCAACGATGCCGCCAGATTCCGTAAAGTCATATCGAAGGATCTTAAATCCATAGGAATTATAAAGTGGACTGACGGTACGTGGACTGACTCCGGACTAGAGACTTTTAATCTGTTGGCCAGCACTCACTTCCCTAACTGTACTGTCGCGGTAATTAATTGGCAAACCGATCAAGCGTGTTCTAACTATTCGGCGGGGACCTAAATCTGATTGACAGAATTGTAAACATATCCCGGTACTATGGAGCATAGATCTGGAGCAAAAAAAGTTGTAGTAGACTAGGCGTGAATCCATCAAAGACAGAGCTTGTACTATTCCTTCATTTATACCACCGATGCTAGATGGGGTCACGCTAAACCTCTCCTCTGAAGCTAAATACCTCGGCACTATCCTCGACCACCAACTAAGTTGGAAGAAGAACACCGTGCCTTCAAGAGCACAACTTAAACTGCACTGGACATCCTACTTAAGCCCACTAAGCATACACGTAGGTGATCAGGAAATTAGGTGTGCAGTTCGACTCAGAGAACTAAACCAATGGCGCAATTAATCCTTTGGACTTTCTGCGATCTTAGGGCGTGTAAGGAATGTGGAAGTGGAAGCCAACAGAAGTTACTATATTTCACCTCGGTTGAGTTTTGACCCACCTGATACCACATACCTGACAGGGACGCCTGGGCCCGTAAGAATCCACCTTTCCACGGCTTAGTTGTTTATACAGACAGTTCAAAAATGGAATGCAAAACGGGAGCTGGTTTCTTCTTAGCGAATCCCACAAGCTTAGAAACGACTGCAGCATATTCCAGGCAGAAAACTTTGCTGTAGGTCATTTATGTACAAAAGTCCGTCAGCAAGTCTCCAATGGGTCTTCTGTATATAGAAGACCTGTAGGACGATTTTCAAATAAAAGTGTAAACTTCCTCGAGCATTTCGGCTCTTGAACATATTACGGTCCCGAGTAAAAAGGAGCAGACCCTTGCTCTTATATAAATGAACTCACTTATCATATGTTCGAAAGAATGGATGTAAATGTAGACGTCGATTTTGTATTCTTATTTGAATTCTTCTCAAGGCCTCTTCACAAAGATTTCGCACTGGTTCGCAAGCCTCTTGCCAATACTTGGAACCACTTCGTGGCATTTCTTTAATATATTGAGGTGGTGATTGGAATTCAAGTAATGGGGTTTTCTCCAAATTTTTCACGGTAAAAACTAAGAAAAAAAGAACAAAATTTTCCTGTCAAAAAATCAATTATGTTCTCTCCCTTGACAAATTACCTCTATCAATTTCATCTTCAAAGATACGCCATCGTATGCGATTCGTATCAATGGGATCGATGTAACGTGTACACAACAATACCATTTCACGCTGTGTCAAATATTTGCCCACTCCCATAGTATGAAGGGCCCGCTCGAACTGATTTCGTGTCAAGGTTCCCGTATGCAAAAGATCAAAACCTTCGAGAAATTCACGAACTCTAATACGATTCTTATGTACATGCCTTTGCAGACAAAATATTATATCACAAATATCCTTATTTTCCTGCGGATGATTACAGAAGTCCTTGAAAACCCTTTGAGCTATATTTGTTCCATTGACTGGTGGCAATTCGGGTAATTCCAAATCAACTAACTTTCCCGGAAAGTTCTGTATTATTTTCTTAGAAAATCAAAAGACACAATGGAATATATATATTTTTTGGATTGAATACAGAAGGCTTTGGGATTTTCTTACCATAGAATTATCGGTTAATTTGTTACTTTTCAAATAGTCCAAAATATTTTCAATGTGCTTCATAAAGGCCACATAATTCACCATATACGAGTCTTTCATATAACGTTTTAAGAGCAATAGAAAATCTTTATCGGATAGGGGAATTTTCATAAAACGCAGAACCCGAGAAAAATGTGAAACCGTTACTGTACCCATATTTTGGGAAATCTAAGAGATGTAATGGATAATTATTTAAAAATTATATAGTGTCTTCGAAAAATTGCTGGGAAAAATTAATTAACCACTTTTCTTTATAAACATTAAAAAAAGCTGCATAAATTGCCAGTTATAAAATATTACTATACAGGTTGAGATGAAAAAACTGCAACTAACTTCAAACTGCTGTCATTTCTAAGTCACTCGTCTGACAGCTGTTATCGTTAGAGCACTCCAGCATTTAAATGTGAATAGAGTGCTTTTTTGTCTCGTATCATCGCTCGTTACCGCGATACTGGTAGCGTAGCCCGACGTGAAGGAAGTGGACGCAAGAAAACATCAACATCAGCAGAAATGGTTTGAAAAGTAGTAAAGGCGACTTGATTGAAACCCGCGTTGCAGTGGCCGAAAAATTGTTCGTGAGCTGAACATATCGCAATATTCCATTCGGAAAATATTAAAAAATGAGCTCGGGGTAAAGCCATTGAAATTCCGAAAAGTGCAAGAACTTACACCGCAACAGACAGAAAATGGACTGAGAAGAGCTAAAGAGCTGCTTCGCTTGGCCGAAAGTGGTGAACTGCCGAATTTTGTTTTTTCCGATGAGGAAACATTCGTTGTCCAGCAGTTTGTAAACATACAAAATGATCGTGTTTATTTGCCAAAGAGGTCAGCTGAAAATGTGCACCTTCGGTTGGCCTCCAGATCTCAAGCGCCGGCCATGGTGATGGACTATTGTACATTGGACACTAAAAAATACCTCAAGCAAGCGCTTCGAAGGGAATGGGCCAATTTACCGCAGAACAACATTCGGGCAGCGTGTGACGGTTTCATTGGCCGTTTGAAGGCCATAATTCGTGACCAATTCGAACAAATCTAAACATATTCTAAAAGTTGATGCTATTTCCGACATTTTTGCTTCCTTTCAATAAAATTAAAAAAAATGTAAAAATTATGGCCTTTGACTTTGTTGCAGTTTTTTTATATCACCCTGCATGTCTCGAAAAAACGTACCTAAAAGAAGAAAATCGAACAAATTTAAAAATCAATAGGGTTAAATCCGCACTTTATTTGAAATATATAAGAAATCCAGATCGTACTTTGTAAATTGATATATTTTTAGTACTTTACACCATACCTCCGAATTGGAAATGTTCGAGCGAGTTTCACTCTCAACTCTGGTGTGAGTTCCCAGGAGTAGGAAAATTATGGAGCATACTCTATTTTTCGTTAAAGTTCCCTTAAAACTTCTAACAATGATGCTTTGTGGAAGAATTGGTATTTATGATAACGCGCAGAAATTGTGACCCGCCGTATGGCAGCCCTGCACAATTCACTCTCTAAAAAATATGCCTAAAGCCTGTTAAAGTGGCAGAATTGCATACCCCCTCAGTCTTATGGTTGTGTTAGCTGTAGACTTCTCCTGTCTTTGCAAAGATAAAGGGGTAACACAAATGATCGAACATCATTGCTCCAGCTTCCTACGGAATCCAATCACTCAACTAAAATATATTTATTTACCAAAAACTTACCAATTCATAATCTTGAAAATATGGCATCAATGGCAAATGAGCAAATTGGGCGATTTTAATTAAAATTAAACACAATTGTCTTCTATCCTCTGGACGAGGTATGACATTCACATGCATTGGATCGATCCATTCCAAACCAGAGGCAATGTCTCCGGCATCTTTCTTAAGGCGTTCTTAAAAAAAATACTCGAAAATAAAAATATAAACTTCGAAAATAAACATAACTTTACAGCACCAACCTTCATTGCACACTACCTTACAAAATTCGCTATAAATAACACGACCATCACGCAAACGGAAATAATCGGTTACCTCGCGTAACTCAAAATCGGATAAGCCAATAACATTTTTATATTTACCCAAAATGCTACTAAAAAGAGATTCTTAAATGGGAAATGATAAAATAATTTAAATTGAACACCATTTCATGGTTGAATTCACCCACCCGAGATCAGGCCCTTTCCTTGCGGATCATGCTCACAAAAATCTTTGGAAATGTCATAGCCATAACGAAAGATTGTATCTTGAATTTTTCTACAAGCTTTCCAGATTTCATTTAATTTGATATCGAGCTGAAATTTTACAACGAAACAAAGAGATAAGTTTATTTTACACCGTTTAGAAAATTTACTAACCCTGTTATCATCGTCCATAGCTGGGGATACCTAAATTTTCCTTTGTAAATTAAAATTGAGAAATTTGATATTTTTTATTTTTCAATTTGCAAAAATTTTCCGACACAAAATATATTTCAGAATATTTAAAACAAGAGTTACTATTTATATTTTGGACTATAACTGTTGCCAAATAAAAAATAACTTCGGAAAGTTTTTCAATTGGAGTTCAATGACAAATGCAAATATCAAATTACAGTGAATTTCGATTAAACTGTTGTGTAACATGTAAAAAAATAATACCTTAAATCGGAGAATATAATTTTAGCTCTTAAGATATACATACTAGAAACAACCATGAACTTGACCCAGAATTTTCCAGAAATCTCTGGACCGATGTTGATAATATGGCAATGGAATGTTACCTCTCCAATCAAATGTTATTAAATATTACAGGATTTTGGTCAGAAAAATGGCTTTTTGACTTGTGAAGTGGATTGATCTGTGGTTTGTTGTGAACCGAATGTTTTTGTGATATCGAATTATTGAAGGGATGTAGTTGTAGCAAACTTCGAAGTTTTCATTTCCGAGAGAATTTAACTGTTTTCATCCTAATGGCTACAGAGGGAATCTTATCATTTGATACGGCCAAAATGTACATCATAGAAAAAAATGTTCTAGAACTTAGGTCACTTTGAACGAAATCCGTTTCAGGACATTTAGAGTCGATTTGGCCATTTTCGTCTGTTCGTTCCTGAAGGGATTTTGTCTCAACTTGGTGCATCGTAATAATTTTATACCCTACACCATGCATAGTATGGGGAGATATTAAGTTCGTCATTCCGTTTGTAACTCACCGAAATAATTATTTTAGACATAACAAAGTATATATATTCTTGATCAGCGTATAATTCTAAGACAATTTAGCCCCGTCGTTGTCACGCTTGAGTCCAAACGAATAAAGATAGGAAGCTAAAATTTTGCACAGATCAGTCTTTTGTCTGCAGACAGGTCAAATCGAAGATGGGCTATATCGGTCCACGATATCGTACAGCCCCCATTATCGGTACCCCCGATATTCGGTATTTTCATGATTTTCGCCACATTTTCCAATGAAATTGTCTGAAAATCCACACAAGGAGTTCTTCCTGATTACTTTTCTCTCTGGAAGAGAATTGTCCATATCGGTCCACGATATTGTATAGCCCCCATAGAACGGTACCCCTCAATATTCGGTATTTTGAGGATTTTAGCCACATTTTTCTATGAAATTGTCTGAAAAAGAAACACAAGTAGTTCGTTTTGAGTACTTTACTCCTTGGAAGAGAACTGTCTATATAAGTCTACGATATCGTATAGCCCCCTTTACAACGGTACCCCCGATGTTCTGTATTTTGATAATTGTAGCCATTTTTTTCGTTTTCGTTTTTTTAACATTTTTCTTCGTTTGCCAACACCGAGTCTCGAACTTACAACGTTTTGGTTTTTAGTGGGACGCATGCACTATATGCCGACGTTACTCAATAATTGGTAATGAGGAAAATATTTTGTTGTTAAGGTAGTTAATTTACTTTACCTTTTAATGGGTTATTCGACTTATATAGCTACCAAGTTTTAACTGGGTGTACGAATATTAACCACAGTCATGTCCATCATGAAATACCCTTTATAATTGTAATTCATAATACTTAACACGCCCCGTCATTTGAGTTAGTTATTTAGCAATTTCTTTTTCAGTAATGAACCAAACTCAAATGATAAAAGGGAAATAATCCAACACAATGGGACAAAAGAAATGCCAACAATTTCCATTCATAGCCTTCCATCCTACATAGAGAAGTAAAATGTAAGAAAAAATGAATCGCAAGAAGTAAAAAATAAAGTAGGACAAGCCGGACTGATCATTTTATACCCTTCAACATGAGGACATCATGGAGAAATCAGGAATGATTATAAATTGGTAGATATCCCAAATTCTGTAACTATTTTGTCAAAATAAGGAAACAATTCCAATTGCCACAAAATGACAGAAAGTCATTGGGAATTTAGATTTTTACGTTAATGAGAAAAATATAGAAGTCTTTTAGAGCAATTTCAAACGGAATGACAAACATAATAAAATTTTTATTTCCATGGAGGCTGATTAAAAACACGCTACCGCACACACACTCACACAATAACTGAGTGTACTTTAGTCAAGTATTATAACACCCTCAAACTATTTCAGATTTGTTTTTTCTCTTTTCTTTTTTATCAAACTCAAGTAAAGTGAAGAAGGGTCCGGCTGTGAAACGACAACGGAAAGGAAAAAGTTTAGCCTTTGGAAAACAATGAAGAAAAATCTTAAATTCATTTGTTAATTACAAGAAGTTGACTTTTTTCCCTTGCAATGGTGATGACGATGATGATTATTATTATTGTAACAAAGACCGCAGATACCAAAGTGTATTTCTATTACTTAAAGCAGCGCCAATGTCTCAACTACAGCAAGGGGACAAAGTATGAACTTCCATTGAAAAAAAAAAAATGTGTAAGAAATTGCTACGACTTTACAAATTATGTAGAACTTAGTGAGTAATTATTATACATTTTTTATATCTGTTTGCGAACATACAAAGGCCTTCGACCGGACAAATCTTCGAGGAAAGTTGTAGTCAAGTTTTAGTAAAAAAAACGATTTTTGTGGTATTGTAAAAACTTAATCCTTTTAGTAATATCTGGGAGGATTAGAATAAAAAATCCACTGTTAAAAGAGTTGTTTGGATCGGGAAAAGAAAGATGAGGAATTGTTATGAAGTGCATATTACGGCTGTGGGGGACAAAAATAACAAATCGTATGAACAGTACATATGTGAACTATAGCTATATTTTAACCGATTTTTCGCCATCTTCGACATGCTTTCTTCCAGGCTGAATGTCCCAAAAATATATTAAATTAGGGTTTATATTAACTATTTGGTGTAGAATAAACTTTAAATTGGAAAAAATATACATGAGAGCTATATCCAAATCTGGACCGATCTAAATAAGATTTGGTAAATTTTTTTCTGAGCTGTATTTGATATTTTTCCCGAATATCGTTGTTATGGAGTGCATATTACGGTGGTGGGGGACTTAAATAACAAATCGAATGTACAGGGTGAGATGAAAAAATTGCAACCAACTTCGGACTGCTGTAATTTCTCAGACACTCGCCCGACAGCTGTTAAAATTATTCCAGTTTACAAGCGTACGAAAGCATTTTGGAGAGAATTTTCCAGAAAAAAGTTATTCGTGATGGAATTCAATCGTGATAGTATGATTTCTTTATATTTGGCTGAAAACCCACAATAAATCCTTTGTGTCTCGTACCATCGCTCGTTACCGTGATACTGATAGCGTAGCCCGACGTCAAGAAAGTGGACGGAGAAAAACAGCAACATCAGCAGAAATGGTTCGAAATGTAAAGAAGCGCCTTGATCGAAACCCGCCTTGCAGTGGCCGAAAAATGGCTCGTGAGCTGAACATATCGCAATATTCAATTCGGCAAATATTGAAAAATGAGCTCGGGGTAAAGCCATTGAAAAGTTCAAGAACTTACACCGCAACAGAAAGAAAATAGACACAAAAGAGCTAAAGAGTTGCTTCGCTTGGCCGAAAGTGGTGAACTGCCGCATTTGATTTTCTCCGATGAGAAAACATTCATTGTCCAGCAGTTTGTAAACAAACAAAATGATCGTGTTTATTTGCCAAAGAGATCAGCTGAGAATGTGCACCTTCGGTTGGCCACCAGAACTCAAGCGCCGGCCATGGTGATGGTGTGGGCCATAACAGCCGGTGGTCACTCTCCGCTCGTATTAATCGACCGTGGCATCTGAATAAATGCCAAATATTATCGCGAAAGTATTTTGGAGGGTGTATTAAAGCTTTGGGCACGCAAACATTTTGGCCGCAGACCTTGGACATTCCAACAGGACTCAGCACAATCGCACTCAGCATGCGCCGCCCAATAATAGTTAGAAAATGAGGTTCCTCACTTCAATTCCAGCGCACAACGGTCACCAAAATCTCCGGATACCAATCCATTGGACTATTGTGTCTGGAGTATTTTGGAAAGCAAGGTTTGCACTAAAAAATACCAAAGTGTCGATCACCTCTAGCAAGCGCTTCGCCGGGAATGGGCCAAAATACCGCAGAACAACATTCGGGCAGAGTGTGACGGTTTAATTGGCCGCTTGAAGGCCATAATTCGTGAAAGGGTGACCAATTCGAACAAATCTAAACATATTCTAAAATCTAATGCTATTTCCGACATTTTTTGCTTTCATTCAATAAAATTAAAAAAAATGTAAAAATTATGGCGTTTGACTTTGTTGCAATTTTTATACCCTACACCACAAGGTAGTCAGGGTATTATGTCTTTGTGCATTTGTTTGTAACAGGCAAAAGGAAACGAGATAGACCCATAGTTCCTTTTGATGATCTGCATAGAATTCTGAGTCGATTTATGTATGTCCGTCCGTCCGTCTGTCCATGTATTTTTGTAAACAAAGTACAGGTCGCATTTATTATCCGATCCAGATGACATTTTGCACAGATCATTTGTTTCGCCCAAGGACGGACCCTATTGAAATTGGAGATAATCGGTCAAAATTTAGATATAGCTCCCATATATATATTCGTCCGATTTGCCTTTTATTGTGCACCAAACGTGTAATATCAGTCCGAATAGTTTGGAATTTTGCATATACACCCAAATTAGGCCTGAAAATATCTAAGCCAAATGCCGAAATCGCTTCAGATATAGCTATAGCTCCCATATATATTGTTCATCCGATTTATTATTTTTGGCCACCGCCGCCGTAATACGCACTCTGCAACAACAATATTTGGGGAAATATATCAAATACAGCTCAGAAATACATTTGCCAAATTTTATCGATATCGGTTCAGATTTGGATATAGCTCCCATATATAACTTCGTCCGATTTACCTTTTATTGTGGACCAAACGTCTAATATTTGTCTAAATGGGATGGAATTTGGCACTTACGGCCGAATTGAGTCTAGAAGCTAGTATGTCAAATTTGGTGAAGATCGGTTCAGATATAGCTATAGCTTCCATATATATATTGTTCATCCGATTTGTTGTATTTGTTACCCACAACCGTAATATGCACTCCGTAACAACGATATTCAG